TCTCTTTTTGAGGCAATCTGTGGGGGAAGATGTAGGTACCTTCAAGACAAGAGTGAATAAGCTTATGTTAAGCTAAGCCAATGCACTTTACCATCTTTGGCTGCTTAACAACTTAACATAAGCCGAGATAGTGGTCAAAAACTCGCTAGTAATAGTTAAAAAAATAGCTTTGCTATTAACTTTATTAATAATCCCGACAACCACTCCAAGCAAGTTCAAAATTCTTTTAAGTCATATGACAGGCGTGAATCACTCCTAAAGAGGTTCAAAGGCACAGTTTATGGAGTACAAACTCTGTATAAAAAAGTGTCCGTAGAAAAGCGCTAAATAAGGGTGGCGCCACTGTAGCTACAGTCTAAATTTTAAAGAACTATTTATAATTTTTTATTGCACAAACTTTCACCATAATTCTTTTTACAATAATTATTTTATTTCTTTAAAATGTTTAATTTTCAAAATCACTCAACGTATTTTACGGCGATTTAACATTCCCTGTAGCTAATCGACAGTTTTTGAACTGTTGTTTACTGTTTACGTATGGACACATTTTCAACTATTCTCCTATGGGAGATTGTCCTCCTCTATACTCCATGGCACAGTTCACGACAGCGGTTGTATGGCGGTTCCAAACTTATGACTTGCGTAGGCTACTGTCGCTTGTTTTTATATGAGCGGTTTAAGCTGTGACAAACATACAATCATTACAGCCCATCACAACTTCACTGCTGAACATATGCCTCCCCTACAGAATACCACAAAGCACGGTTCTAAGACACCTGTTTCCATCGACTTCTTGCATTCAGTGGGGGGCCGCCCCACACTTCGCCAACGAGGCTGCCGCTCATGAACCTTGCTTCCCCATCGGTTGTCGATTCTTCGAGCTATATGGCCGGCCCATTATCACTTCAGCTTACTAATCGCTGCCCGGCCGAATTGAATCCGTCGATTGACCTCTCGTTTGAAGTTAGACTTATCTAGTCGGACTATTTTTCCCAGTGACATTGACTTAACATATACAATAACATTTATAATTAAGAAGTGTTGTGTAAAGTATTAAGTTTCGTTTTAAATAAGAAACTTTCGGTCAACTTCTAAAAAGCATGGCGTGTTCAGCAGGGCGGGACGGTATTTCATGCCAGCACACCGCTTGCAACTTTACAATTTGCAAGTTCGGCCTCACATGGAATTATGTTCTCATCTCTGGGTCGAGGCTCCCCACCAAGTTTCTTCCACTTAACCGCATCCAGCGCAGAGCGGCTCGAATCGTCGACGACGACGAGTTCTTTCTGATCGGTTTGATTCACTGGCGCTGCGAAGGCATGTTGCCCATTGCATTTTCTATCGCATCTACCACTGGGAGTGCTCACATCGTAACAAAGCTCACTATACTATCCACACCATTGGCGGTGCACCACTGTGCGTTTTACTAGGAGTTTTCTTCTTCGCAAAACCTCTTTGTGGAGTTAATTTTTTTAGGAGCTTTCAATTCCCTTAGATTATTGCTGCACTAAAAAATCTGGATTTAAAATAATACCAAAGAAAACGGCTGGGTAGCTGCATAAAAGAAATGAATATAATGATTTATTCCTTCAATGGAACTTATAAATAATGATTTTGGGTAAAACGCCTCCATGCAAGAGTAACTCCTATTTCTAATGCCATAAAACACCGTCACAATAAAAGCCAACTTCATCCATCGATTTCCTGCATAGTTTACCAGATCACGGCACACGTTTTTAGTGGGGTCCACCCTCTACATCGATTCGCATCGCAAGGATAATTGCCTCACTTAGCACACATGGCAGGCGAGCTAGCAACCGCAGTTGGTTATTATTTTGGGTTGCTATTTGGAAGATGCTGCTGCCCATTCTCTCTTTCAGTGTCCCACTATCGTTAGTCTTAGGACACACACGGGATTATATGGGATAGTGGGATTTTCTTACACCGTCATTACACACGGAATACACTATAATATATTATACGCGGTAGAGCCGCGCTGCAGTTATGTAATGGTTGTAGCACGAATGCGTCGGCTCGACCGGGGCAGGACCACGCTCTCGGAGAATACCAACGTAAAATAGCAGCTTAATGCTGCTATATTTTGTTTGGTGAGTGTAGAGAACCGGAGACTCTTTTCACTGAAAATGACGCGTTCCATAATACTCCTCAGAGGTGACAACTAATGAGAATTGAACGATTCTTAATTGAGGATAAATGTATTTGTAATTGGGTCACAACATCCACTTACCATTAGGTGAACTGTGTGCTCGTTAGTCACCCTTATTCTATAAAAAAATATATACCATAAATATAAAATATCAAGCGACTGAAATCACTGACAAACGTATAAGACTTTTAGCATTGCAATTGTCAATTAGCCTGGCAGCTGCGGTAAAACCACCATAACATACTGCCCAGCATAGGAGTCCATACGAACTAATGATGAAAAACCATCCTTAACTTGTGTCCTAAATTAATTTGATTACAAACTGCTGATAAATATTTCCTTTAACCTTTTAATTAATTAAATCGATCGAATTATTTTACTTGGTGGAGCCACGCTACATCTACATATAGCTGCGGTGCGATAGTTCGACTCGACCACGGTAGGACCACACTCGCACATTATATCTGAGTAAAACAACAATAATGCTGCTTTGTTTCGTACGGTGGGTGTAGGGAACCGGAGACCCGTTTTATTGGAAACAAGGCATTCAATCTTAGTTCAGGGGTGACAATGCATCTGCATTTTGATACTTAGTCGAAAGTAGATTTACATTTATCTACATCATTCACTTACCATCAGATGGCCTGTGTGCTTGTTTGTCTCCCTTACTCTATAAAAAAAGTTTATTTTAGGACTAAATTCAAAACTTCTAATGGATCAGCTATCTCTTGCGCGCGCAGCTGATAGCTTCCGATTTTGATGCCTGGGAAATTGCCCCGTGTGGTCTAAAATTAAGAAGGATATCTTAGCATAAACTGTATAAGTGTAACGATAATAATGTCCTCTGTACCGAGTTTCGGTCACGGCGGCCTGCCGGAGACTAGACGTCGGCGCAGGACAGGATTATAGTGCCCAAGTGTATGCGCAAGCACAGGTGCACTCTCTATTCCCTCACTCTCATAATCCGATGGTACGGTAAACCGATACGACCGGAGAGAGATCAGATGCAGGATCGGCTTTACGTGATTTCACCGCCAACTTCCTGACTTCGGGCAGATACTGAGAATTTCTTGACGGAAAAACTCAGTAATTGATTTTTTGGCCCGACTCGAGATTGGAACCCAGGACCTCATAACCAGCAGTCGCACTATTACATCACTAGACCAACGAGGCATAGGTGTAACGATATCATATCAAGAAAAAACTATTAAGTGCCTCTTTATGACCTAAGACAGACAGTCGGTGCAGTCGAAATTAGCCGGGAGATCATTATTACCTTATTATTGCCCAACGTGTACAAGGTTTCACTGTATTTAAATTTAAATGATATTACATAGCCATTGTTTCAAGAAAATTGCATTGGGCAAGTGCATGTTTATAACATAGCGTTGCAAAATTCGCACATTCATGTCATCCCTGACGTTTCAGTTATAAATTTGGGCTTTAATTGTTCAATATCAAATTATTTTTACAATAGTGATCTCCGAGATGACGCGAAATAAAAATGCCATCAAAAACATGACTTGTAAAAAAAACAAGTCTCGCAACTCAGCTCTTCTACCGTAAAAAGTTGTAAGATCCATGTTACCAAGTCGGTTAATTTATTCAATCCCTACTTATGGGTCCTTCTGTTTTAAGTTATTACGCAATTGGCTAACCTAACAACGTTTTATAGTGACAATATCAATATTAAAAATGTTATATGTTTTAAATATATAGATAGACTTGGCCATCGAAAGAAAACACAATGTATCTCACAAGTAATACATATTAAATTAAATTGCTTAGTGCGAATCGTTAAGGGGAAATATAATCTCAAATGGCTTAGCAAGATCCTTCGTTATGCCGAAAATATTGCAGCATTAATTTTGAAATAAATATATGGTAAAGTTGAGGATTTATGTTAAGGATTATGTTAGACGAAAACACGATTTCGTAAAATTTTCTCGATAGAAAAAAAATTCCAAAGTTACCTCCAAAGTAAACAATAAACCGCTGTTATTCATAAAATACTTTAAATGAGATCATGAAACTTTGCATACTAACTGAACTAACTATAAAGCAGTGCTTATGTTATTTACTTTTTTTAAAATACCTATCTACTTACAGTATTAGTGATTACAAACATGTCTGTACATAGCATACGACGCGCGGGCAAGTGGAGACGAAATTAGAATTTGAGCTGACTTACTCTATCCTCTTAATGCGCTGACTGGCATATGCCGAGTAGTGTAGTAAGACGCTTCTTGTAACTTCGGGACACCTAGCGAAGTCCTCTGACTCGTAAAATTACCGTGACTCGGGCGCAAAAACCCACAGCGATCGGAAGTCGCCCGAAGCGAAGCGAGGTTGCACGAAGCAAATCGAAGTATCTTTCTACACTATTCTCCTCGTCCAACTTCGATCAACTTCGCGAGTAGTGTAGAGGGCCATCAACGAGCTTGCAATAAATTTTATCAGTAGCCTAATGGTAGGATGCGGACCGAGAACTCAAAGGTCGTGGGTTGAAATCAGCCATTGTTTTAACCCCTTCTAACTCAAGCATTTTAAGTTTACCAGAAATGGGTAACTGGAATATTAATAATAACTTTGCTTTTATTTAAAAAAATAACATAAAATAAGCGCTTGTCATCCAGAGAGGCAGGCGGGATTAGGGATAAGGACTTATTTACATTTGGCACGATCGTGACTCACCCCTTTAGCCACCTTGACATTCGTATACCTATCTTCGTATACATATACTCGTCGGTTAAGCATACTCTTAATTTGGCCGTCTTCACTATATCGTCAATTGGTCCACATCTTTAATTAATAAATAAATTGTTTATTTCAGACAATGCCTCCACCCAGAAGCGTGCAGCAAGGATATCAACCTGCCTACATACTACGCCCGCTTTCACGACCTGCGCAAAGAGTATGTGAGGGCATACACGCTGAGGGCGGTGGCGTCTCCACGAGCGCAGGCACCTCCACCTCCTCCACCAGATCACCCCACCTCGCTTCTTGATATGCTCAACTGTATCCTTTTTGAATCGCTATTTACTATTGGATCCTAAAGTTTATAATATTATTATATTTTCCTTTATTAATAAGGTATACTTTTTGCACAAATTATTTTTCAGTTTAGACTCGAGTGAGACGTAACTGATACAAAAAACTGAGGAAATATCATGCAGTCTGCCGCCTATATTTTTAATAAAATATGAATAAATTAATATAAATTGTTTATAATACAAAACGATAAATATTGTTACGAGCTTGAGGTTCGTGACAATAAAAATTGCCGATAAAATTACCTAAATTAACACTTTAATTTTCTTTACACAAATTAAAACTTAAAACACTAATAATTAATCACACTAATTCACTTTATTTCGCTCCGAAGCTTCGCTTGTCTCGCCGAATTCAATACTTCCCCGATCGCGTATTGCAGCACCTTTATCTCTGCTCTTCCACGAAAACATTCAGAATATTCCAGAATATTCAAGTAAATACGCGCGCCAACCGACCAAGCGCAGAAAATTCGAGTGTGCGGCTTCCAGAAAGCTTAATTCTTCTGTTCGATACTAGATGGCGCTGTTGGTTGAAAGAAGAGTCATGTATTTTCTGGAAAGCTCTCCTCGCTCTGTTACTCGACACCAGATGGCGCTAGTGCCATCGTCTTATTCCCGCAACAATATAATCCGGCAAGTCATTGAAGAACACGTTAATTGTCGGTGTTCGAAAGCTGTGCGACGTTAATTGTCGGTGTTAAAGCAATCCAAATACCATATCTTACTATCAAACTTTATAATAAATCATCAAAAAATCATCATAAAACTGATATTGTCAGAACTATGCATTAAATGAAATCAGGATTTTATCTATTTATACTTAGTAAATTTAAGCAAAATCGACTTTATAAATAACAGTAGCTATCTACCTACTAAAAGATATTTGCATACACAGACTAAATACTAAATATGAATTAAAGTGAGAAATAAATAATAAAAAAACATAGGTAGTCCACACAAAATTAATTTAAATATGCAAATGTTTAAACCGTATGATGGTGAACGTTAGCTACGTTCACCATCATACGGTTAGGTGATATACGGTAGAACGTAGTAGCCATACTCTCAAGATAATGAAAACCTTCAACATTTTTTGGTTTCATTTTTCGTTATCATTCAGTCGACATAACCTCCAACAAATTTACACCGCGTTCAGGTGAGGCAGGTTTTTTTTATAGCACCCAAGTGACAAACCTACTGTCGGTCCCCCTGATGGTGAATGCTGCAGAACAGCAGCCCATGGACACCTGCACCCAACTTCAAGTAAAGAAGGTTACGTTTGCGTTGTCACCTGTGAGGACTACATGGAATTATAATGGCTCTCTGTGTATGTCTTCTGTGTATCGTAATAATAAGACAATAGAAGTCGCATAGACGCGTGACCTTGACGCTGCTACTATGTGTTGACGAACATAATTAATAATTTTTTGATTTAGTTGCGCGGGGAACGTCGTACGTGAATTTATGTTATTGTAAATTTATAATGGTGAACTGCAGCATAATCAGTTGTAAAAACTCATCAAGGACGTGTATTTCAACAAATAAAGGCATAACATTTCATCGGTAAGTTGATTATTTACTAATTATCATTGTTTTGTGGCGACATCGGTTTTGGAAGTAATCGAGCGCTAATTCACTTCTATTGTCTTATTATTTCTATTTCTGTGATCTCTTCAGACCAGAACGCAAAAGTATATGCAGTAATTTATATAGGTAACAAGGTGGTATCTGCCCACGTCACAAGTTGTATATTATATAGTGCGCTGTTACCTGCCCAGACCGACTTCTAGGTAGAAAAATAGGCCTACCAGTTAGTAAGTTGTCATTAGTAGAATAATAAAAGTGCTATAACTAAGATACGTGAGGGTAATGTGGTCACCTTAAGCTTTGCCGCCCTATAAAACCAAAACTAAGAGGAGAGCAAAGACAAACACACAAAAGCGTATACTATAACTAATAAGAAAAAAAAACAAACAAACTTTGGAAATATATGAACACTTAGAAAAATCTACTTGAAAAACTAACTACACTACACCATACTAAAATCGACTAAAATATTTACTATAATGTTAACTGTCAAAATGGCGTCGATGAAGCAGCGCCCTCTTGACCCTTTATTATTTGATTGACTGATGAAGAGCTATCGTATCACAAAGCCATCTATGCAAAAAAGACTGTAGTTTATGATTGAAACTACTTTTACCGATTTTATCGCATTTAATTTTTATTTCAACTATTTTTATTTTTTAATTCCCGACGTTTCGGGTGCTTTCCAGCACCCATGGTTACGGAGGACTGAGGTGACTGACGTTCCGATTTCATTTTTAAACCCGGAGTACCTTCAGCTTTTTTAATTATTGTTAATGGTCCGATCTGTGTAAAATGAACTATGTCTTGAGGCAGTGGTATGCTTGGGTTTAGTTTTAATTTTATTGATTATAGGGTCCCAAGCAGGTGGTAGTACCCAGCCTCCTCTATTAAAAAGGATGTTTTTTAAATTCAATAGCCTCACGTATCATCCTTGGTAGGAATCGGTGTTCTTTCACGAGAATTTATGGTCTATCAAATCTGATGTAATGGTTGGGGCCGTCTAGGATATGATCACACACTGCAGACTTCCCGGAACGTTGATTTTTCATATCAGCTATATGTTCTTTTACGCGGGTTCTAATTGATCTTTTTGTTTGTCCTATGTAAGAGAGACCACATTCACAATCAAGCTTGTTGCATCTTGTAGAGGAATATGACACTTGACGGATGGTAGGAATTGACTATCTTCTTCGGCGGCTTGTAGAATGTTCTTGAAGCGAGCTTCTACGAGTATTAGATTTTTTTAGATTAGATTAGTCAGTTCATTTTGCATAGATCGGACCATAAACAATAAATAAAAAAGCTGAAGGTACTCCGGGTTTAACAATGACATCGGGAGCAGTCACCCAGCCCGATCGAGGCTCGAAAGCACCCGAAACGTCAGGAATTAAAAAATAAAAATAGTTGAAATAAAAATTAAACGCGATAAAATCGGTAAAAGTAGTTTCAATCAATGTGTATGTGTAGTGTTCGCGTAAATATAAGAAATCTTTATGTAGTTTTTGAGTTATAAGATATACTATACTATGTAAGTCGCGTCTTGACGTGACTAATTTACAAGTGTCCCAAAAAAAGTTTCTTGAGCATACAAACCAAAAAAAGTCTCTTGAGCATACAGAACCAAAAAAGTTTCTTGAGTTCATACAAACCAAAAAAAGTTTCTTGAGCACACAAATAGCTGGCAGCATATGTCATCTAGTCATTGAGTTCTTCTATACATGTTAGAGCCATGCTGCAGCTTTATAATGGTTGCAGCACGAATGGCTCAGCTTGGCAGCGGAAGGACTAATATTATTAGAAAATACTATATATCATAAATGATGAGTAAAGAGAACTGGAGACCCTTTTTACTTGAAACAAGGCATTCCATCGTATTACTTAGGAGTGGCAACGCATTTCTGAATTTTGATTCTAAATCTTGAATAGATGAAGATGTCTATGTGCCACAGTATACAGTTGCCATCAGGTAAACTGTGTGCTCGTTTATTACCCTTATTCTATAATAAAATCCCGGTGCAGAACGAAAATATCGTAAAGGTTTTATCATCGTAAAGCATCCGTAATTACCGTCTATTTAACTACGTTTAATATAAATAAAATTTTCATAAGTAAGAGGATTTAAAAAAGGAACAACATCAGGACGTAAAGGTCTATAATGCTGGACATGGCCTCCTCCCCTTGTACGATAGATTAGACATAATCGTCACGTTGAACAGGTAGATTGAAGATTGCGGTGCCAGACTCGTACCGTTGACGAATCCCCATCGTTGCTCTGAATATTTTACATCCTGCGTAAACTAGATGGTTATATTACACCGCCAACTATAGGAAACCATTAAGATTTATCATGGTATTTTCTTACGACACTTAAAAATTAGGGTAATGGATTCGTGTACGATATTGCACATTTTTTATTTACCAGCACTGCCAATACCAGTTCCTTAGATAAATGTTCAGATCTAGGAATAGCCCCGTACAGCGGAGAAAATTTTTACGCTGCCGAAGTCCAAGACATGGCCAGCATAATACAGAGGATAATCTCGGACGGTGAGTTGGCTTTTTTATTTATATTATATTTTTACATATACATACATACGTAAACACTCATGCCTGTCAACCAGAGGGGTAGGCAGAGACTAAACACTTCCACTTGGCACGATCCTGACACACCTCTCTAGCCTCCTCCACATCCATATACCTACGCATACATGCTCGTCGGTTAAGGGTTAAGGGTATTCTTCATTTGGTCCATTTTAATTATATCGCCAATTTGGTTGATAAACTTTCGCCTAGGACGGCCTTTTCCGACTCTGCTGTTCACTTCTGCAACATAAATTTTCTTTGTCACTCTTTCCTCATTCATTCTTTCCACATGACCAAACCACCGAAGCATTCCTTTCTTAATCCTGGTCACAACATCATCTTGCAAACCACACTCTTCTCTTATTACACAATTTCTCATCCTGTCACTCAGATTCAGCCCCAACATACTCCGCCTTAACGACCGCGTTTCGACTGCGTTTATTCTGCTCTCGTGCTTCTTCTGCCACACCCAACTTTCACTGCCATACGTTAAAATAGGGACTAACACAGCAAAGTGAATTTCCATACGTGCCTTTTTGGCATATTCTGACTTTCCACAATAGAGTGTTTAGCTCCATTTACTCGTACATATTATACTTATAGTCCCTATAAATGTCTGTGTGTGTCTACACTGAATGCGCGGTGTCTAGAGCCTATTGCGCGCGCGACGGCGGTGACGTACAATGGCCGGCCACAGTGACGGGCGAGCTGTGGAGTGATTAGGCCGTATTTCAGGTGTTGCAAACCATAGGCGAGGATTTAGTATTTTTGCTAGAAAGTCCGATCCTGAGATCGGAGATGTTGAACATAAGAAAGGATGTAAACGAAATAAATAAAAACAAAAATAAACATTGAATTTTTTATTTTGTATGAAGAATTGAGATTGTACCCTAGTTTTTTTTTGAGTAAACTCTAATGTCCGTATCAACATTTAATTATATCATGAATAAAATATCACCTAAAATCATCATTCATCAAAAAAAAGTTGAAGACAGTTTATGCCGAGCGACAAGACCGAACTGGTTTGATACCCCAGCCATCCGCGCATTGGGTCGATTGCTGCTGACTAGCCAAACCGCGCGGTTAGGAACATTTGAAAACTACGCGCGTTATCTCGCTTATGCCCGTCGCGCTAGGCGCCCGCCTTATCCTTATTAGTCACTACACTATGGACGCAAACGGCGGTTTCATTTTGTTTGATACTTCGCGGCCCTCGTCGCAACCACAGGTCGCAACCGCGCTAGGCTTGCACTGTGAACGCACCACAGAAATCTAAATAATAATATACATTTAGATTTCTATGGAACGCAGGCTAAACGTTCAGTAGATTATTGTTTTTACGTTTTTCCTGGAGACAGACTCACAGATTTTCAGAAATCTACAATCCTAGGTTGTGACACTGATATTGTCAATAGTACAACTAGTAAACAATGTAAGGCACTGCCACTATTCTTATTGTGGGGTATCTGTATAGTTTTCTCATCTGATTGGGTTCTATAAATATATAATTATAAATGAAAATGAAAAGATAATAATACATAAATATCAATAACATAAAATAAATATAAAAATACATAAATAAATAAAAGCCCAACCAGATGGAGGCCCTCGGCAGGAGAGACCAAACGGCCGACGGTTAGGGGGAAAGGGAAAGAAACCGGCGGACGATGCGGGCGGTATCGAGGAGCACCGCCTTCTGCATTTGAGCCCGGAGCGGTCCGCCACGTAGTCCCAGTCGCCTCAGATGACCTGAGAGGCTGACTGGGATTAGCCCGTTTGCAGAGACGACTATAGGAATAATTTCGGTCGGCAGACCACCCCACATGTCGGTCACCTCGTGAGCCAGGTCCAGATATTTTGTTTGCTTGTCTGTTTCGGCTTTCACGAGGTTCTCGTCATACGGAATGGTAATGTCGACCAAAAATATCCTTGACTGTGCCCGGTCCATCAGCACAATATCAGGCTTATTCGCAAGAATAGTCCTGTCTGTGATGATGGCTCGGTCCCAATAGAGCCTGGCGCGATCATTTTCGAGCACGGCTTCCGGCAAGTACTTGTAATACGGCAATTTCCGATCCACGAGACCGTATTTCAGAGCGAGCTCCTGGTGAAGAATTCTGGCTACTAGGTTGTGCCTGTGCAAGTACTCAGAGTTAGAAAGTGCCGAACAACCGGAGATGACATGCCTAAGTGACTCACCGGAATGGCGACAAGCTCGACAGATGTCCACGGTGCCATCCTTTAGGATGTATCTCCGATAGTTGTTGGTCTTAATAACCTGATCCTGTATTGCACAGACAAAACCCTCGGTTTCCCCCGAAGAGATCACCAAAGCGTAGCCAGTGGAGGGAGGCTACTGTGTCTACGAAAGGCTCATGTAGAGCCTTGTAGTACCTCCCGTGGAGTTCCTTCTCCTTCCATACGGTCTCCCAGTCGGAAATGCTAAGCACTGCTGGATCCTGCCATTGCTCGTTGGCTAAAGATAGAGGGGTAAGCCTTTTATCACTAGAAATGACGTCATTATAGAACGGATCGTCCGATCTCGCCAGGAAGTAGTAACGGAGGCTGCACACTTCGCGATTATACATGGTGAGCGCGCTCAGAAAACCACGTCCACCATGCTTTCGCGGCAAGTACAGCCTCATTACCGACGATCTCGGATGATGCATCCTATGGGACGTCATGGTAGTGCGGACTTTTCTATCCAGGGCGTTAAGTTCAGTCTGGGTCCACCTGAGTATGCCAAAGGTATACATGAGGACAGGCATGACCCAACCGTTATATGCGTGTGTCTTATTCACACCGGACAAAAGGCTGTTAAGCACTTTGGTCAAGCGTGCATAAAACACGTCGCAAACTGACTGTTTCATACCAGCCTCATCGATACCGATGTTCTGTGACATACCCAGGTATCGGTATGTTTCAGCCTCGGAAAGGGTCCTTAAGTTGACGGGCATAGATAAGTCTATGCCCTCAGAGTTAGCAACCCTCCCCCTTACAACATGGAGGACCGCACACTTATCCGTTCCCAGCTCCATTCCAATAGAACTGCTAAATTCACAAGTGATATTTAGCAATTCCATAAGATGGGAGCGACTGGAGCTGAATAACTTGAGGTCTTCCATATAGCAACGGGGGGTCACTTTTGTACCTCCTTTCCGAAGCTGAAATCCCCTCCCGGAGCCCTCCAGTAAAGTACTGAGAGGGTTCAGGGAGAGGCAAAACCAGATTGGACTCAGACAATCGCCCTCGAAGATGCCCCTTCTTATCCTTATGTGGTTCTCCGCAGCCATCATCCACTCGCCCAGATAGCAAAGGATCGTACTCCATTGCCCTATACATTGCTCGAGGAAGTCTCCAACTGTACAGTCAATTTTGTACAGCTGGAGGACTCTCTTTAGCCATGTATGGGGCACCGAGTCGAATGCCTTTCTGTAGTCTATCCAGGCGGCGGAGAAATTCCGACGGTTGCGTTTCACCACTTTGCCAATGACCGCGTCAATAAGGAGTGGTTCCTTGGTTCCACGACCACCGCCCCGGCATCCATTTTGAGCGCGTGACATCACCTGATTTAGCTCCAGGTGACGAGTGATTCTCGCGCTCAAAATGGATGTCAGTGTCTTATATATGGTGGGTAGACACGTGATGGGGCGGTATTTGCTCGGGTCTGTGGTATCCTGATCTTTAGGAACCAAATGAGTGATCCCAGTAGTGAAGATGCTCGGGAGCGACTTCTGATCGAGAGCCTCTTGAAACTGTCGGGCGAGCACAGCGTGACACACTACGAACCCCTTCAGCCAGTAATGATGCAGCCCGTCGAGCCCCGGACTTTTCCAGTTCGGGGCCCTACGGACCGCCTCAGCCACGTCTTCAGGCGTTATGGTGACGGGGTCCATAGGCGTAACACTTGCACTCTGGCTCGCCACAACTTCCATCCAAGGGCTCTCGCTGTGGTTTACGGGCTCTGACCACAGGCCACGCCAAAATGCGACAGTGTCGGCCTGATCCGGTCCTGGGCCCGCTCCACATACCTCTGGTCGCTCCAGTGATTTATAGAGCCTCTTCTGATCACTCTGGAAGAGACGATTCTGGTTGAACCGCCTTGACCTTTCCCAAAATGTCGAATCCGCTTCCCCCAAGCAGCGATTTTTTGCTTCAGGTCATCTATGCGCTCCGTTAGTTTCTGCGTGATATCCGGTTGGAACAAACTGATATTTGTCCCAGCAAACGCCATCCTAACGGTGCGCATAATCCTCGGTCTATTATTACCCGACCTGAAGCTTGTCAGTCTGCCGATAAGGGCCCTTGCCTTTGCGATACGGTCCTCAATTCTTTTTCTCCAGGCTGGGATGGCGCTACTTTTTTGAGTAGCACGTCCAGCCACGGGAAGTTTGGCGCCAATAATACGGCATACTGCCAGTGCGGCGCCAAAAAGAATTGAATCCGTCTCGCAAAGGTCCCGGCTGGCTTCCAAATAGGTCACCAGCATTGGGTTAATTAAGAGCCTGCACGACAGCCCGATTTCGCTTGCTAAGGGGTATGCGGGGGAAGTCGCGGTCGATTTTCGAGAGGCATGCTGCGCGTTTCCAGCATCGACTCTTCCAATATTCTCCTCATTTTCTCTAGTTCGTGGAAGACTATTCCATCATCGTCTGAATTAGCCACAAATGGAATGTTGACGGCAGCATCCACATATGCAGTTTGTTGCGCATCTAGTGGCGCCGCATTCCCAGCCGTAGCATTTCCATTCGATGAAGGAATCCACTATTCTTATTAATATCTTAACTATTTTATGCGTCTAACCCGGTGTTCGAAGGATTTGCCTTCATCGTCACACTTGGTAGGCGGTCTAGCAATAACAGCACCAGACTTAAAGTTTCAACGCCGCACCCATTGAAAAATTTATTGAACGCGGTCTTTCAGACATTTCCCGAAGCAGTCTCTAGACACTCTAGAGGTACCTCTACAACCCAATGATTCAATTCAATTACTTTTTTCATGACGCATAGAAAATTTACTATTTTATTTTATAAAATATTTTGTTACAGGTTTCCGGTTGGAATTGCCTGAAACTATCGACCTAGTTTTAGAGACTGGAATTTGGTAAGTCTTACTTTTATTCAGTTATTGTATGTAGTGATTAGGGTTAGGATAAAATCTGTTTTTTTTTTGTGAAATTGCTAATTATTAAGTAACATAATAAGTAAAAGGCAAAGATTTTGAAAAAGATTAACATTGACTAACGATAGCCTCGTATTATTTTAAAAATATCTGATGTAAAAGCTTTACTATATGTACTAAAACAATATTAGAAACGAAGTATATTGCCTTAAAGATTTACCCTCGATAGAATACCCTCAAAATGAGAGTTCACTATTTCTTTCATAATACATCACAGGCTTTAAAAAGTTCACTGCTGAATAAAGACCTTCCCCCATAGATTGCCTCGTGTGGGCAACAGCATTTTATTAGAAATTTCAGCTGTAGGAAGATGCTATTGCCCATCTTCTGTATCCATTGATCACCACCACCAACACTGTTCCTCTGCATATCAATGATATTTGCAAACCGGCAACATTAATTGCTATGCTCTATTATATGGTTTGCAGATGACAGCACTGGTGACGCTCTGTACACCGGCCGTGACAATATTTCTCGGGAAAACGTCTCCGAGTACCGGGACAAACTTGTGTCTGAAGTCGAGTCTTTGCTGAACAAAGTCTCGGATTGGGGGCGACTAAATCTAGTCCAGTTTAACCCTTAGAAGACACAAGTTTGCGCGTTAACCGCTAAAAAGAACCCCTTTGTCGTATCTCCTCAGTTTCAAGGCACTCCCCTTGTTGCCTCAGGCAGTATCGGAACCCCTGGCGTCGTCATATCGAGTGACGTGCAGTTTCGTGGTCACTTGCAAGAGAAGGCCAAATTGGCCTCTAAAAAGCTTGGCGTGCTCAGCAGAGCGGGACAGTATTTCATGCCGGCACACCGCCTGCAACTTTACAAGGCGCAGGTTCGGCCGCTCATGGAATACTGTTCCCATCTCTGGACTGGAGCTCCCCATTGCCAGCTCCTTCCATTTGATCGCATTCAGCAAAGAGTGGCTCGAATCGTCGGCGACCGAGTGCTTTCCGATCGACTCGATACACTGGCGCTGCGAAGAGATGTTGCATCTCTTTGCGTATTTTATCGTATCTATCACGGGAAGTGATCTGAGGAATTGTACGCACGCGGAAAACCTCCCGATACCAGCCTTACCATCTGGATGCTTCACCGTGCTGGATTCTGGTCCACCACTGTACGTTTCACTAGGAGTTTTCTTCCGCATACGACCGCTCTGTGGAATAGTTTACCACCGGCGATTGTTCCAGACCGATACGACCTGGGGACCTTCAAGAAAAGAGCTTACTCCTTTCTAAAGGGCCGACAACGCACCTGCAATTCCTCTGGTGTTGCGGATATTCATGAGCGGCGGTAGTCACTTAACATAAGGTGAACCATATGCTCGTTTGCCTCCTCTTCTATAAAGAAAAAACTACATTATGGTTGTACCACGAATGGTTTGGCTCGACCGAGATGGGATCACGCTTTCACTAATACGAGCATAAAATAGCAATTTAATGCTGCTTTGTTTCATTAATTGTTGATTACAGCCCGTCAACAGTTTTCTCCAGAACCAAGCCTGCACGTGTGCATAGGTCGTCTCATAGTTGTATAATTGTTCAGCAGTGTCCAGCAGGATGCTCCTGTTTCAATCTCCTCCGTCGTATAAGAGCAACAAATAAGAAACGCGGTAGTAAAAAATGCGGTTAAATAATAAAAAAATATTTTAAACACTTATTTTAGTAAACTATATTGTATGATCGTTGCGCCTACATAAATCCTAGCAGCAAATTGTATTTTATACTATTTGAAGTAAATTTGGGGTATGTTCGGAAATACAACCCAGTACACTGTTAAATGCTAATGACGTCATCAATTGACACTATATTGTACTGGCGTGCCGCCGCAATATTGTGTCGGATATCCGGCCACAATAAAACAATTTTTAATTGTGTGTGCGCTGAATGAAGCATGCCAGAATTTGTTTCTATTTATTCAAATACAAAAAATTATAGAATAATTGCTGGTATATCCATTAGGAGGATATAATGATTTTTGGATCACAAAATGACAAAATAATCGCCAACACTTTTCTAAATGGCGCAAAAGTAGGACGTCATATACTGTCCAATGTTTCAAAACGAATCACCAGTCGATCATGACGTCATTTGCATTGGACAGTACATTGCGTTGTATTTCGGAACATACCCTTGATTGTAAGCTTGACCGCGTGGTGACGATGAAAGTGGTGTATCAACTACCCCATAGCGCCCCGTGGGTGTGGTACCTAATTAAAGTAGGCAAGACAGAGGGAAACTAACCAGGATATAGACAGCAAATGTCCCTTATATGAAACATTATATGAAGGAGCCCCCAGAGTTTACATAAACAAGCTACCTACTTATCTTTATTTATAGAATAAGGCTGACAAACGAGCACACAGTCCACCTGCTGGTAAGTGGATGCTGTGGTCCATAGACATCTTCATTTATCCTTGACTAATAATCAAAACGCAGATGCGTTTTCACCCATGAGGACTAAGATGAAATGCCTCGTTTCCAGTAAAAAAGAGTCTTCGAATCTCTACACTCACCATACGAAACACAGCAGTATTAAGCTGCTATTTTACGTTGGTATTCTGTGAGAGCGTGGTCCTTCCCTGGTCGAACCAACCCATTCGGGCTACAACAATAATATAGCTGCAGCGTGACTCTGCCACGTATGAAATAATTATGTATACTTTGAGGGAAAACCTATGTTCACTGTGGGCTTTGATTGGCTTTAATGATTATGACGATTAAATAAAGTATAAAACATGTTAGTATCATTAGAAATTAAATACGGGGTATGTTTAATTTAAACGATAACTAAAAATATAAGTTATTTGGAAGCCTTTAAAATATGGTAAAAGATGTTATTTTTTTAAACTTGCCAAAATTACCACAGCCGAAAAGCAAAGCAGCGTGGTAATAAACTCAGCATTAGCGGCATCTGTCCTTGCAGATGCAATGTTGCTTTTCTTTACCTGTTTCCGGAATTTGGACTCATCATATATGAGCGGTTATGTTATCAATAGATTGTCATATTGAATATAACTACTTTTACGGATTTTATCGCGTTTAATCTAATATATTTTTACCTCCCGACGTTTTGAGTGCTTTGCAGCAAGGCAGCAAGGTGTTTGATGTCCCAATGTCATAGTTAATAATTAATACCTTCAGCAATTTTTAATTAATTTTAACATCAAGATTATATTAACATGGGTGGCCATAGCCAGGGTGGAGTATAAACGTTTTGAAGATGACACAAAAAATACAAACACAATGTTAGAGTCTTGTTTTATTGTGCCTGTTTAGCGTTTAAAATCGTGCGTTATGGAAACAGACGTGATATGTGTACGTACATAGTTATAATATATATATCATCATCATCGTCATCATCATTACAGTCCTTCACAAGTCCACTGCTGAACATAGGCCTCCCCCAAGTAATGCCACAAAGCACGGTCTTGAGCCACCTGCATCCATCGACTTCCTGCATGTCTTACCAGGTCGTCACTCCATCTAGTGGGGGGTCGCCCTACACTACGCCTACCGGTACGAGGCTGCCACTCGAGAACCTTTCTTCCCCATCGGTTATCGGTTCTTCGAGCTATATGGCCGGCCCATTGCCACTTCAGCTTACTAATCCGTTGGGCTATGTCGATCATTGTGGTTTTACTGCGGATATCCTCATTTCTGAGTCTATCACGCAGAGAAACTCCGAGCATAGCCCTCTCCATAGCTCGCTGAGCGACCTTGAGCGTCCTCAAACGGCCAGCAGTGAAGGACCACGTCTCTGATCCGTAAGTCATCACTGGCAACACGCACTGGTTGTACACTTTATTTTTCAGAGATTGAGGTATACCTGACGAGATAATGTGTCGTAATTTCCCGAACGCTGCCCAGCCGAGTTGAATCCGTCGATTGACCTCTCGGTCGAAGTTGGACTTACCTTGTCGGACTATTTGTCCCAGGTAAACGTACTCGTCAACAACTTCGAGCACAGTGCTCCCCACAATTACCGGCATAGGTGTGACATGGACATTGAACATAATCTTTGTTTTGTCCATGTTCATCTTAAGACCTATCAGTTGGGAGACACCATTGAGGTCATTGAGCAGAGTGCTAAGGTCTTCCAGCGATTCTGCCATAAGGACTATATCGTCGGCAAATCGAAGGTGAGTGATGTACTCGCCATTGATGTTAATACCGTATCCTTTCCAGTTCAGTAGCTTGAAAACGTCTTCCAACGCAGCGGTGAAGAGTTTCGGGGATATAACGTCACCCTGTCTTACACCTCTCTGCAGTTGGATAGGTTTCGAACTCTGGTTCTGTACTCGGATAGCCATCGTAGCCCTACTGTACAAACACTTCAGCACCTCGATATACCGACAGTCAACTTGGCACCGCTGAAGGGACTGTAGCACCGCCCAAATTTCGACGGAATCAAAGGCTTTATCATAGTCCACATACGCCAGGCAAAGTGGCAGATTGTACTCTTCAGTCTTCTGTACAATCTGCCGCAGGGTATGTATGTGGTCTATGGTACTGAAGCCTTTTCGGAAACTGGCTTATTCAGGAGGCTGGAAGTCGTCGAGTTTGCGTGCGAGACGATTCGTAATGACTCTCGAAAACAGCACGTAGACGCGGCTCAGAAGGCAAATCGATCTGTAGTTCTTCAAGAGAGCGTTGTCGCCTTTCTTAAAGAACAAGACCACCGCACTTCTGCTCCACGCCTCCGGAGTAGTGCCAGGACGAGCTTGAAGAGATGAAGAGCATCTGAAGGACTTCAAGTACCGGTGTTCCACCCGCTTTCAGAAGCTCCGCTGTAATTCCATCCTCGCCTGGTGCCCTGCCGTTTTTAAGGTGCTGGAGAGCCATTCTAATCTCGCTCAGACTGACGTCCGGGATATCATCGGAACAGTGTCGGGTAAGACTTGCTCTTGTATCGATACTCACACTTGC